TGGGATGGGCTGCCTCGTAATGGCCTAATGGATGGACTGGTGAGAGGTGCGTGACCAGGAAAAGCAATAATGAAACCAGCACGGCGACAACGACATGCGATCCGCAAATATCAATTTAATGTCTACTGGATCATAATTACTCCACGACGAGGGGTCATAGTAATAGAAGTTAATTTGTATACGTGATAGTAAAACTAGAGGTTAAATCTATATGATTGAAGGTCGAATTATTGAAGATACATAAGGGATGCCCATTGCACTACGAAAACATGGTTCACCTTGAAGAGATTCTGACTCATTACCGTTTGTGACAGTTACAGGTCCTCTAAGAAACATTCCTTTTTTCAGAATTCAAGCAGATTTATCGTAAAGTGTCTGTTGATCATTTGGATGAGAAGAAGATAGAAGAGTACCTACAAAAGCATGGCATCGATGCAATGAAGGTTGGTTCATTCGATTTGATTGACTTCATACTCACTTTGAGTTCCATGTTCAAGGTGGATAGTAAATTTCGTTATTCTTCCAGACTCTTCAGATTCTATAAGGACCCTCAATGATTTTTTCATTTTTTGTAGCTAAAAATTATTTTTGGTAGTGTTGTAACGTCCTTTGCTTCATTTTACGTTATCGTAGGATCTTGCTCCAAAGAAGTTGGGCATTGGACCGTTAAAACGAAAGGCACCAAAGCGACGACAGAATGTCAAAGTACAAAACCAGCACTTGGAAGGAGTATTGGAAGATTACGAATAGTTTTCGTACGTTAGAAATCATCGTTAAGTTAGTCGAAGCCAACATTTGGTTTCATGTGATTTCTGATGGAAAGTGGTATTCGGTAGGGAGCCATAATTGTTGTTAGTTTCTCACGGAGTATCTCTAAGTTTCTTTTTTGTTATGTTGTTAAGTTAAGCCTACTTCGTATTGGTAAACTTCAAATACACTCAGAGCTTATATATTCCGTCATGATTCTCTTTCGTTTTAGTATTCTTATTTATATTATTTTTGATATGTTTTGTAAATAATTATATTTGTCGATTACTGAATGAAATATGGGTATTTCATGTGTTGCACGCATTCAATCTATCAGGACAAATATCCACAGTATTTCTCGGCAATGTTAATCGCTACGGTAACAAAGTTGCAAGTATTGTAGATTAATGAATTGGTCGACTACGAGTCTGTTCCATTTCTGAAGATATCTTGGTAAGGGTATTAGTGACAGTCGGGTGGGTGGAGTGTGCTGGGGCGTGGCTGGTAACTGAGACGAGTATGGCGTCTTTGATTTAGTGGTCTTAGAACTATTCAAAACGCCTTCATCTACCCACTTTCAACACGAACCAAAGCCTTCAATAGGTTCCTTCAACTAATGTAAGGCTAATCAGCGCTTCTGTATGTGATAATGAGTGGTGATATACTGTAAAGACTGATAGTAGTGAAGGTGACAAGCATACACTCCAATTATGGCTTAAATGCCGTCTAAACCTGCTCTCTTTCGCAACCAAGATCTGCAGGGGATTGCTCTTGAAATATCATCATATGTTGGCAAGTCACACCCGGAAATTACCAGAAATAGGGAGGTAGAAGAGGATAGTTTGATGACAAGAAGAGGATGCGTAGTAGCTTTGTGGCATAATATAAGCTTGTAGGGATGTAGTAAGGGTCGAAAACTGTGCATAACGCTTTCTATGCGATCCCACCTCCGAATGGACAAGTCGACGCGGTGGTGGGGCTTGGGATTAGAGATGAAAGTAACATCGTCAAGGAAAGAGGCAGTAAGGGATGAACAATTCCGTGCACCCGATTCTTTCTGTTCACTTTCCACTTCAATATCATCGGCAGAAAATCTAATTCCGGAGATCCTCCTATTCTCATGCTTTTTCCCCAACGTGTACTTTCTCAGTCGTGTTCTGCACCCATACTCACTTCTTATTACCTTCCAGCTTCAAGGTTATGTCAAAATCCGGATATATGAATGACTGCAATGTTTATGAAGCAGTCTAATTCAAAGAGATGGCTTATAATATTTTATCGTTGATCAAGCTAGTTTTGGGATGCGCCCACGGTTTACTGCAGTCCCATTCGGAATATTTGTGGCATCTGAATGTGCATGTGGCTTATGTGTATGGTTAGCAGACAAGTCTATACCAATTAGACGGTCTCAGTAGTATGAAAGCATCGGTTGGCTTGTGTGGGTCAAAACTATTACCAGATAGTTGACTACGACCTGGGTTTTATCCGCTAGGGTCATGCGCATGGGATCACTTGCTTATAAGTGAGCGGATAGTCAATCCGCATGTAGCTTCATCCAAGGACATTCGAAAAAGAGGGAAAGGAAATCGTCTGTATAGTAAGGACTGATTTTTGTGATGCGTAATGCGCTAGTAATAATCGCACCCTTACAACTATGTGCCTCTAACATCGCTTGCGTTTTGGGTATAAGATAGGGATGCGAAATAATCCAGAAAATGAAAATTTTAACCCTCATCTGTGGTTAATAGCTGTTAAACAGTGAGACGTTTTCAGATGTTAAAGACGCTGGCGTATAACGTCAGACGTCTAGCCACTCTGGCTCGAGATCCATCCTTTGCCAAGGTCGAAACATCGGATCTTCGAGTATTTGAATCGATTTGTGGTTCAAGTAATGTGAAAACTTCGGACATCGACAATTATAAAACAGATTGGACAAAAGCATTCAGAGGTGATTCCTTCATTCAAAATTCAGAGGAGCTGCGATGTGCCGTTTTTGCCGTTCGCAGGTTTTGTATGGTTGAAAAGAGATTAATACGAGTTCATGGTTACTAATTAGGTGACCCACCATGCGTCTTGCTACCGTCATCCACCGAAGAGGTCTCCGCTGTATTGGCGCATTGTGCTCAAAGACGAATCGCTGTTGTTCCACAGGTAAGTCTTGAGATTTCTTTTCAAATACTCTGCATAAGTCAGTTAGGCAGCCATCAAAGTTCCCACTCACCTCTGTTCCCATGGTTGACCGGATCGGAAACTATATATCATACGGGGGATTTACTGGTCCAGTGGGACCATGACTCCCTGAAGACCTGTGGGGCTTCGATCGCGTGAACTACACTGTCTAGAAGGCGTGGTGGCCCTCTGAGAAGAGAGCCATTCGGTGTTCTTCCATTTTCCGCTCACTCCACTACGTCTCTTCACTGCCTTCCGCAGCATAATAATTGAAGGCAATAGCCATGGGACCCTCCCACGCTGCAACAGTTCCACAAAGTGACATTCGTAGTAGCTCATACGGCGAAGGAACAAACAAGGGGATCCAACAAATGCTATCTCTTCTTGCTTTATCCATTTTTATTTTTATCTATCTTACCTAGGCTGGTAACACTGGCCTTGTGGGCGGCTCCATACCACTCCATGACGAGATCGTTTTATCAGTAAAACGGATTAATAAGCATTTTGAATTCGATGAAACATCAGGTAACTAACTACCTTCTGTTTACGAATTGTATGATAAATTAAACAAAATATCACAAGAATAAAAACCTTTATGAAATTAAAGAAGTTGACTGCGTTGCTTTTTAGAAACTTTTAGAAACTTTAGGTTCGATTTTGCCCATTTTGGTGTTAGGGGCCACTTTTATGTCAAACCTTATAAGACTTCAGAAGGATTTTCGCCAATGCTCCTTTCTTTAAGAAGTGATGCCTTTCTTCTGGCTGTGTTATTATTACCACTTTACAGGGATCTTAAGTTGCGATGCTGGAATGATCCTCGAATTGGTCGACAACCGACTTGCTCCTCATGGGTGAGGTTTTCGCTGATTACAGGAACTGAAATTTGAAGGCATTGGGCACGCTGAACATCTATGTAGGTGAATCCCTGAGAAGATCGTGGAGAGTGTCTTCTTCCTGATATTTTGGTCAAGCAGCAAAAGAAGGAGCAAACGGGTTCTAGGAACTATTTTCTCACGTCAAGCGTGCCCACCATCAAAAAGTTTCCCGAAGTGATTGGGAGATTAAGCTGTAAATATTATTCATGCATTAATCCTTCATGTTCAGCTATATGATGCCATACGACCTTGGTGCGAAAGGATCCTGTATGATTGGTGGCAATGTGGCGACGAGTGCAGGCGGTATACGTCTACTCCGATACGGTAGTCTCCATGCGCACCTTTTGGGACTAACCGCGGTAATGTTCCATGCCCAGTGAAAACCCAGAAATCAGCTCACAGTTTCTGCTTCAAGGTGCTTCCCACAGAAGAAGGCACGATTGTGGAGCTGGGCTCAGCTCATCGCAAAGACAACACTTCGCTACATACGCCTCATCTGTTTCTTGGCAGTGAAGGACAACTGGGTGTTATAACCCGGGTCACGATGAGTGCAGTTCCAAAACCAGCTTCGGTTCAGAGCGCTATGTTAGGTACGGCTTTGTTCCACTGGACTCGAAAAACTGCGTAAAGTATGTGGACCTTGTTGCAGGAGTCGATACATTCGAGTCTTGCTGCAAAGTGCTTCGTATGGCTAAACGTCATCTGTCAGAAATTCTTTCGTCGTTCGAATTTCTCGATCGTGAAGCAAGCGAGGTTCTTGATGAAGCACTAGGGTTAAAGCCCGTGTTGCAATCAAATCCACGCTTCACTATACTTGTAGAGACCTCAGGTGAGCATTTCGAAGTGCTGCAGTTCATTTAATCCCTGTTGATCCCCCTTTCAGGCTCGAATGCAGCACACGATTCAGAGAAAATGGAAAAATTTCTCGATGATTGTATCAGTAGCGGATCAGCCTCTGATGGGGTCCAGGTGAGAGAAGTGGGAGTAGTTTTCGACTCATCCGAAGAACCAATCCCTTCACCTAATCTGCAAAAGAATCACACCTCTCTTCTACTCTGGTCAATTCTTTCGCCTTGAGTGATGATGGCACATAATTTCCCTGCTTCCAAATATGATCCCTAGTTTAGGCTCAGTCGATCGAGGAGGCTTCTGCAATGTGGCGTCTACGTGAAAGTGCTCCGTTAGCGGTGGCCGCTGATGGTTTTGTCTACAAGAATGATGTATCCCTTCCACTAAAACATTTCTACCGTTTGACTGAGGTGAATCTGAACAGGCACTTTATTTCTTGAAGGAGCGTCAGAATAGATAAAGTTCTTGGCTGGAGAACAGCATTTCGACGTTCCAGGAAATCAGAACTCGATGTTCTTCCCTCGCAAAGCGCATAGTGACGTATGGTCATCTTGGAGACGGGAACAGTCATCTCAATATCACCGCGAAAGGACCTAGTCAAGAATTGTATGAAAGGTAATAGACTTATCTACCATCCTGATTCATTGCTAGACTTGTTTTACTTACTTTGTACCGAATATGTATGTCATGGCGATGTATTTGGCGGACATAGGTCTGATGTACACGAGTGCATATTAATAAAAGCAAGTACCGAGGCTTGATTGAAAGAGCAATGTTTAATAGGAAAGGAGAAAAAGGCGGTCGGCTCGATTTAGAGAGTAGGGAATGGGTGCAACGTCCAAGGAGACTACGAAAATCTGTATGAAGATGTTGGCTCCAATCTACATACTCTATTCAGACAGTCAAAATGAGAGGTACGGGAAGGAGCTTGGCGTATCGGACGAAGGGTAGTAGTATTAGGATATGGAGTAGTGCGAGGATCGGTTAGTCGGATGAATTGTAGGCCAAGATCTTGGTCCTTGGGTTTTTATTTGAAAATTTTCTACCATCAGTTATCGAAATACCAATGAGTATTACGCTGGAAAGCGAAGCGTATATAATTTTGAGAAGCTTTGACATTAGCTCTACATCTTTTAGATGAAACATTTATCCCTGGTGCACTGTTCAGTTCCCCTTCCTGCCCGCCCTCTACGTTTCTCCCCAACCTTCCGTTCCATCATCCTTACCCCACCTCTTTCCTCTTCCTCTACCTGCCATTCTTTTCCTATAAACAAGGAGGTACTTCTTTCGAATGGTATATTATTTACAGACTCTATCCATTTCTATACGAATGGGTGAATTCTCATGGCGGTTCAATCTCAGCCGAACATGGTATTGGACAACTAAAACTACCATACGCATCACTCGGCAAATCGCCTATGGAAAGAGATCTAGTGCGTCGAGTAAAAACGGTTTTTGATCCAAAACGCATTTTGAATCCTTATAAAAGTTTTTGATTGCTCACTTTCTATGTTTCCATTACATTCTCATATGATATGTCACCTCGTTTCAGTGCCCTGATAAGTCTGTGATAAACGTTTTCTCAGAAATAGAATAAAACTTTTGAAAATATATTATTCAATGTCTTTGTACAACAGGGCGTCTTCGCGTAAAAAGTTTTGGTCAGGTTTGAGCCCATTTTAACCTATAACTCAACGACCTTGAGAATTCTAAAAGTGTCTAGTGTAACCCCAACTTTTCAAGCATCGCTGGAAGGTCTNCTTTTGTTTCATACAAAGGGCAGCTTCGTATGAACAGAGAGGCCCACCCATGGGCTGATCAAATATTGCTGACTGTCCATGCGATGATATCCAATTGTATCGGCTTTGTCCGCTTCAAACCCGTTACCAACTACTGGCATTTGATTTCACGCTACCATCTTTCCCTACTAATCGTTATATAGTAACTAATGGTGAATACCACTTCGTCACTTGCAGAAATTTGACATTCCATCCACGTGGAGATTCCATCGAACCTTCACTGACTCTTTTGTGTAGATCGTGTACTGAAACCTTTCCCGTTGATAGAGTTTTCTGCCTCTAATTACAAGAAGGATGGACAGATCGAAACGTAATCCCAACCAAAAGTGAAGTTTACATCTCTAAAAGTTCACTCTCAAAGCAGCCTCAACTACCACAAGTCAAAACACTTCGAAAACCAGCGTAATGATGATTCACCATCTCCGTTCTTGACATCGGGTTCTGTTTCATTTTGGTGCTCAACACTGAATTGTATTGATTGTATTATGTTCCATAAATTTAATTCTATGCCAGGCCTTCAATGATAACTTTCTTTGTTTTTGGATTTGGTGCCGTCATCGATTGAACATTCTAGCTCCCATTTCTATTGCCACTGAAATGGCTAGCAAACAAAATATGTCCAAAATTGAAACATCTATTGAGTCATTCTACCCTAACCCCTCCATTTCACGTATGATTTGATATTTGCAAATCGCTCTGTTTATTGAATAAAAACTATTTTATAGAGGGTACGAGCGAATACTCCAAAGTAATGCTGCTTTTATTGATCGGCTTA